CCCCCCCCCCGTCCCTCTCCTCCCCCTCCTCCCCCGTGTCTCTGCCTCATTGAATCACTCACCAGGGCACCATCGGCCTGGTGATTGACCTGACCAAATCAAGCCGGTACTATGATGAGCGCATCGTGACGGACCTGGCTGCGCGTTATGTGAAGATCATCTGCCAAGGGTGCGTCGGGGCCTGCCCTGTCTTTGATCATGGTTCTCATGTGGCCTCGCGCCTAGCTGACGCCCATTCTGGCTCTGCCTCTGTTTTCCTTCTTGCCTCCCTGTCTCTGTGTCTCGCTGTGCAGCCGCGGCGCAACTCCCACGCCGGATCAGGTGTCGCAGTTTGTCTCGGCGGTCGACTCCTTCCTCGTCCACAACCCGGAGAAGATCATTGGTACGCCTCCCGAAGCAAGGCCCAAGTTCATGTCCACATTCAGACAGGCATAATACTCACTCTGTCCCCCCCCCCCCTCTTCCTCACTTCTTGGCATTCATACACACCCATATGCGCGCACATATGATGTCCCTCGCGCGATAGCTGTCCACTGCACCCACGGCTGTAACCGCACCGGATTCATGCTGGCCGCATATGCCCGCATGCGGTGCGGGCTTTCGGTCGATGCGGCCATCAATATCTTCGCCAAGAGCCGGTGCGTGGCCGTGCCTGGTGATGGCACATTCATGCCGATCGATGTCTTTCCCCTGCTTTCATGTCTCCCCTCCCCCCTGCCCTCGCATCATGCTGACGCCGGACCTCTCGCCTGCCCCGCCAACAGCGAGCCTGGCATTTACAAGCACGACTACTTGCGGGATCTCCTGGCTCGGTACCAGGGCAATGAAGACATGATCACCTTCCCGGAAATGCCGACTTGGCACCTGGGCGACGGTCCGGACGCCTTTGATCCTTACCAGGACGGTGGTGGCAAGCGTGTGTTCCTCTTTTCCTCCCCCTGCCTCGCTCGCTCGGGCTCATGCTAATTCCTCGACCCTCTAGCCGCCAGCGCTCCCCACATGATCGGCCCGCGCGGGGATATTGGCACGCTGGTGGCCGACCCGGTTCTTCTGAGTACCCTGCAGAACTTTTCCCTGGAGATGTGCCGCGCTTCTGAGTCGCAAACCAAGCGCCGGCGCTTCCCCGGGGCCATGCCGGTGTCGTTGACCATTGACCGCCTGTCGCACTTCGATCGTGTTGAGTGCCTGGTCTCCTGGAAGGCCGATGGCGGGCGTTTCTTCATGGTCATCTGGGAGAATGATCTGGTGTACATGGCAGATCGGCACTTCAACTTCTACGAAGTGGCTGGCATGAAGATGGCTCCCCTGCCGGGCCAGCCGCCTGTGCGTCGCCCCCGGTTGATCTTCCCTCTCTTGCCGGATGGGTCCTCCTCCCTCCCTCCCTCCTTCCTGCTCTTCCTCCTGCTCTTCCTCCTGCTCTTCCTCCTGCTCTTCCTCCTGCTCTTCCTCCTGCTCTTCCTCCTGTTCTTTCTCCGTTCCCCCCCTTGTCCGATTGCCCACTGCAGAGGTCACTGACATAAGCATGATTCGCCGGCCCTCCCGCATTCGTCGTAGCTTACGCGCACTCTGTTGGATGGGGAAATCGTGGTGGATTCCATCCCGGGCTCAACGCCAGACTTCCGCAACCGCTTTTTGGTGTACGATATCATGGCCTTGCGGGGCAAGTCCGTTGTCGATATGCCGTACAAGGCCCGGCTGAAGATGGCCGAGGTATGCCCATCATCTCCCTGCATGGGCTCTTTCCCCGGTCGATCTCGGTCATGCGCAAATCACTGACATCCTGCATTCGCCGCTTCTCTTCTGCACAGGGCGAGATCACGGGCGGGCGCAACGCGTATCGTGCGCAAAATCCGTCTTTTGATTGGAATTCCGAGCCCTTCTCCCTCCGGATGAAGCTCTTCCTGCCGATTGAGCAAGTTGGCCGCATCCTGAAGATCATCCAGTCTCTGCCGCACGAGAACGACGGGCTGATGTTTGCTGCCGCGGAGCAGGTTCGACCTGATGCTCCCCCCCCCCTCCCCACCCC